TTTTTTAATCAATGATTTATCTTTGATTATCAAATAATTCTTCCCTATCTTATTTAATTAAATTGTCATTAGCATGATATTTTTAAGAGAAATTCGATTTTAGAAATGAAGATATGTAAGTTAAGATAAATTTCATAAGATGAGATGTATAATGATATTATTATATTTTTAATGAAGGGAAAAACAGAATAAAATTTGTGAGAATATCTACTTTCATATTAGTTTTGATGTCTGTGAATGGTTAGGAAGAGCAGCAGAACTTGTTGGTTGTATAACAAATGGGGGAGACGAATTTAATGTAAGAAGGAGTGAGTGAGAGGGGCAAGCATAGAGCATTTATTTTTCCTAACCTGAATTTGTTTAAGATTTCTATCAAGTGTGTGTTACTCATAGCCATGGCCATGGCCACCAAATTATTATTCGACAGTATAGTGGTTGAACCATCAATGTAAGTTCATGCTTAAAAAAGGGGGTGACAAATTTTTCAAGAAAAAGCAAATTATAGAAAAATTGTTCTAGTGTGAATGATTTGGAACCATAAAGTGAATGCTAGTAATTATAATTATAATTCCAACTAAAACTTTGAACATGATAACTTGGAAAAACTGAAGAGTGTTAAAACTAACTGATTTGACTTTGAAAACCCTAGCCACTGAGTTGATTTATGCTCCAGGTTAATAATATATTTTCATTGTCCCCGCAATTATTGGTGGACAAATGAAAACGACTTTCCTTCTTCCACTTCTTATCGGAAACTTAATAAAAGTACTGCACGCCCAGGGCATAAATTATACTATTTCTTCTTCCTTCTATATCCTTTACTTCTTTCTTCACAACATTATTAATTCAATTTCATAAAGTATAATTATAATTACTGTAATGTTATCATGTCAGTTAATTATAAAAAAAAATCTTTTATCATTGATGCTTGGTTATTGAATTAACTATGGTTTAGTATAATAAATTTGAGACACGGTTAAAAAACAACAGTCCCTCCATTTAATTTTTCTAGTGCTGGTTTTGAAAAAAAAAAAAGAAAAAAAGTTCATGTTTGTTTGGAAATTTTAAGATTTAAAACAATATTAGTATTGTTTTATCTCCATCTCTCTTGAATTTAAGCACATTTATTATAAAAAGTGAAAATACAAAATTTTATAACATGTATGTATGGTATAGTGTAAATAGAAAAGGATAAGATTGAAAATTTTAAGGGTGCTTAATTTGTTGTTTTTAAAAAATAGTTTTTAGTTTTTTTTTTACTTTTAAAAATAAATAAAAAAACTAAACTAAAATTCATAAAAAATATTTTTTATTTTAATAATAGTATTCATATATATTTATCAACTGTACTAATTATCAAAATCATTTTATATTTGTTCACGTTTTTTTATAATTAATATCATATGTCAAATTATGAATAAAAATGATACAAAAATAATTTTGTAAACAAAAAATTAATATGCTTCTCTGATTAAAAAAATATTATATAAATATTATTTAATTATAAATTATCATTTTAATTTTAAACTAATTAAGATAAATAATATATATAGAAGTTTTTAATTAATAATAACTATAAATATATAATCTTAAATAATTTATTATTGTGACTATTTTTTTTACATCATATTTTTTTAATTTAAAATTATTTTAAATTAAAATTATAAAAAAATATCTTTTTTTTAATTAATATCTAAAATTATTCTTGAAAACTAAAAAATAATTAAATAAGTCCTCCTTAACTAGTTTTCTTATTCTAAAGTATAAATAGACAAGAGCAAAACTGGAAGTTTTCATAATTATTTTGTTGTAGAGTTTGAATAGAAGAAAATTAAGAAAACATCATAATTATTTTATTATAAATAAGAAAAATACATTATTTTTTATATAAAAAATTAAATAACCTTTCAAGATGAATGGATATAATAAGAATAATTGCTATTGTCCTTATCTATAAGATTTTTTAATTAATTCATGTTCTTAAAGAAAATTAATTATTAATATTTAATTTTCAATAAATTATACTACTCTTCAAAAACTCCCGTAATATTGTTGACACTGTATTTTTATTTCCATTTTATTTGTTTATCTAATTAGTGCATAAGAAAAATGTTTATGTAATTTGTGTCTATTCATTTTATCCAAACATAATAAGAAAGATAAACAAATGTATTAATTTTTATCATTTCTTATTTATATCTTAAAAAAATTCAATTAATTAATAATATTTAAAATAATTAATACAACTCATGATTAAGAAATCTTATAATCTTTTTCTAGAAAAATATATTAATAGAGTAGAATGTTTAATAAGAACTTATGGGAAATTTTGTAGAAGAGTTTTTAAGAATAAAAATCAGTATTTTAATGTGGATTTAATATATAAAATTATTTAAAATAAATAAAATTTGATTATATAAACAATTTATAAAGTTTAAAAAAATATTTTAAAATAATCAATATTAAAAAAAAAATCACTGTTCTATTCTATGGATATGGTCCAATAATGTTTTAAGATTTTGTTTTAGACTAATCTTATCTGATGTAAGTTTAACTAAAAATTATTTTTTAAAAGATAAAGTGGAAAAATGACAAAAATAATTCATTATTGAATTCAGCACATTAATTACTCGTACCGAACTCATCTATTAAAAAGTCACTTATTTAATAAGAATAGAGGATCTATTTATGAAAACACTTAAAATACTATTTGTTTTTAAAATTAGCATACTAGACAAATATATTAAAAAAAGTACACATTTTATTTAATTTATAGTTATTTAATTATTTTTTGGGTTACATTCAAATTAAGTTTGGCTTTTAAAAATATATTTTTTATTAAAAATTGGTTAAAAAAAAAGAAAAAAAGAAAGTGTTTTATCCTTGCAACTAGTTGTGTTGAATAGAGAGAACAAATAATAGGCAAGAAAAAGAGGGCTGAAATAAAACATAGTACATGGCAACACTGCAAGTGGATGAAATGTACTATTAAGTGTCCGGTAATTCCCTCTCATCTTAAAAAATAATGTTTTTAATATATTTAAATATTATTTTTTTAACACTTACACTATAAAATAATTATGAATTTTATAGTTATTTTTATACTGAACGTTTTTGCATAATTAAATTATTAAAATATTTGTAAAACATAAATTTAATAAAAAAATAATTTTTTTTGGCTATGTTAATTATCAAAAGATTCATTAATTTGGACATTAAAAATAATTGTAGACTATTAACATTTTCAAAAGAAGTTATTAACCAACTGCATCAAATCAATATCATTTAAGGACCTATTTATTGCACTTATTTTCCAAAATCAAATTAATGGTTCCAAGATTTTTTAGTACAGCAAAATAAAATTTTTAAAAAAATTAGAATTATTATATGTTATATATACCATATTAAATTAATTTAATGTTATATTTAATTAGTACAATATATTTTTCAATAATTATTATATTATATTATTTAATCATTTTTAAAAGAATTGTTTTATTTATCATAATCTTCAAAATCGTATGGTCAATTAATACAGTTGTTTCCATCTTGATATTTATATTTTTTTTAAGGTATAAATATAATAAACATAGGTTAGCATATTTTTTTATAAATAAATTATTATAACAGTTAGAATGTATTTATGAACCTATTTAAATAATTTAGTTTAAATATTAATTTATTTATTTTATAAAAATAATAAATCTTGAGATTAATAAAAATATTTAAAAAAATTGTCACATGAAAACATATAAATTAATATAAAAATATTGATATATATATATATATATATATATATATATATATATATATATATATATATCAATTATAATTCTCTGCTAACAAAATCTAAAAGGTTCCATTCATTGTTTGACATTTGTCAATGAGAAAAAGAAAAAAAAAGCTGTAGTATGTGTCACACAAGATTTCACTCACTATTCACATTCTGACATTTTAGCTTTATTAATGATGGGGTCTACCACTAAGTTACAAATTTGTCATTTTTAATTTTTTAAGAAATAACTACGTAATAAACATTTGAAATTTTTCCATTTTTAAACGGTTGAAATATATATATATATATATATATATATATATATATATATATATATATATCAAATAACGATAAGAAATATATAATATATGAAATTTTTTTATATATAAACAGTACATTTATTATTAAATTTAAAATTGATTATCATCTGTTCTTCAGAAATTAGCAAATAATTAAACACTATTTAATGTTGTTTAAAATAAAATAAACAATATAAATAACATTAAATATTTCACGTTTAATATACCCAAAAATATCACGCTTCAATTAATGCAAAATTTAATACAAATTCAAATGTTATTTAACTGATATCTCTGGCACAGAGCCATAACGTTTATTCATTATAACTACCATTGAGGAAAAGTTTTATTCATTATTCAAAGCATATTTCAACACCATGTATTGTGCTATATACAGTCACAAAATTGACCCTCCCCAAATAAAACTTGTACAGTACCATAAATTTTATTTATTTAAATAGCATTAAAAAATAATTAAAGTGTACATTGATTATATGCATCCAATATAAATGACCATAATAATGGTAGCCTTGAAACCAACCATTCACATTTAGTAAACCTTAAATGCATTTATTCAATTGATGCATATACAGTTAATTAGCATAATTAATTAATTAAAAAAATGAAGGCAAATTGGCAAAGGAAAAATCAGAGGGTAGAGATGATTATTCATTTGAAGCAGCCAAATCATCGCAGAGAAAACAAAGCTTGGGAAATTGGAGAATTTTCTATTAACTTTCCTAGTAAAACGGCAGTGACTTTTTCCAATATACATTCATAAACCCTGGCCAATATCACTAAACAAATGATCCTATCCTTAAAGAACCTAAATTTATCATCATCTATCGTTCCATTTACAAAACCCTTGAAAAAAAATAACAAATTATATTGAAAATGGAGACAATTTCACCAATTACCCTAACCACTTAGATTGATATATTGAGGTCAATCCTAGGTTTCTTCATAGAGGGAATAGGAACAAGAGAGTTGCACCTAGGACACTTAGGATTGTTCTTCATGATCATCACATATGATAAGCAACCAGGGCATCCTGCAGCCATAGGAGAAGAAACCAGCTTCTCTTCACTCTCTTCCTCTTGAGTGGTCTCTCTGATTGAAGATGAGGATGAGGAATAAGAGGGTGATGATGCTGAGATTGTTGATTTCAAGAATGAATTGCGTTTCCTGATAATAGGCTCTTTCTCTGCCCTCTCCAGAGCAGACTTCACCTTGTCTAGAGTGCAAACACTTTGGTAGTTGCTTGAGGGCAAAGAAGATGAAACAAGTTTCAGGTCCAAGCTTGATTCATCAAAGAGGTTCAATAGCACATTGGATGAAGATGGGAAATTTAGGTCCTGAAGCTTTGGCCCTGCCGGCTTTGCATTGAGTTTGTGCTCAGACATTGGTGGAGACCCTATTGTGGTGGTGTTGCACTTCTGAAGATACACTCTGCCTGACTGCATCATAAACAATTTCACCAACCAAAATTTAATTAAGAATCATCCCCATTTCAAAAAAGTGATTTTGATTCATAGTTTTCATAGCAATTGACATATAAGATGGGAATTTGTAAAAAACAAGTATGAGATCATGAACCAAAAAACTCAGATGGGTTGTTTGAAATGATCAATACAAGAAAATACTTATAAACCAACAAAACAAAGTTAATTTAGAGTGATGCAAAAGAACAAAATTTGTTACAAAGGGTGTGAATGAATCTATGGGAGGGGAGGTTCAGAAATGACATCATGGATACCAGAAATCTGAATCCTATAAACTTGGCTTTATGAGAAATAAATACAAAGGTACAGAGGAGCAAAATTGAGTAATTGCAAACCTGCTGTTACATTAAAAAGCAAAAGCATAACAATACCACAAAAGATAATATATATATATAAAAAAATAAAATAAAAAATCACCGATTGAAACAAAATGAATTTCAATTTGCCTTCCTAAAAAAATCCTGTTTTGTTTATCCTCAGGAACCATGAAAGCAAATGACAAAAGTTCCATATCAGAACACATCAATGAACGCAAAAATATGTTTTATTCAGAAAACCCAAATCAAAATCTCCCCCCAGTGAAGGAATTGTACAGCACAAACTTCACAACAAACAGCAAAAATCTGAAAAAGGAGAAACAAACCAAACACAGTGATTTCGTTACATCGAAAAGATTTTCCATTAAAAAAGTACAACACTAACGAAAAGAATTTCCGATTCCAGGAATCATGACTTCTTCCAGAGGTAGAAAAAAAAAGGTTTTATTTTTATTTTAACATTTTCCCAGGATAAAAAAATAAAAAACCCAGAAGAAATTGAACAAACCTGAAGGTCGAGGCGTTTCTCCCAGCCATTAGGAACCTGCAAATCGAGGTCCAATTCCTGGGATTCAATTGAGGACCCACCAAGGAGGTCGCGGGTAATCAGAGCCGTTGATTTCTCACCATGTGATTCATTCCCCACCGTTCGATGTTGCTCCTCCTTGTAGCCACCACCCATGACCCGAATCAAGGAGCTAACCTCAGCAGCCATTACTGTGCCTTCTCACAGAGGATTTAGAGAGAGAAAGAAGATAGAAAGAGAGAAGAAACCAAAGGGGGATGTGCGTGTGAGTTTCTTCATGTGGGTGACTGTGAGAGATTTATATATGCCAATAAAGATAGGTGATGGTACGTTACAGTAAAATTAAAAACCAACAAAAAAAGTGAAATAAAAAAACGACATTTAATTAAATTAAATTCCATTAAATTCAGTTTTCTGGTTTTGCTAGTATCGTGGTTTTGAATTTTAAAATGAATTCGATTAAATTTTAATTAATTGGTTCATTTAATGTAGAGGGGTATTAATTAATGGGTAGTGGAGGAGTGGGAAGAGAATTCAAGAAAAGAGTGGCATGTAAAGTAATGAGAGCATTTAATGCATAGAATAGTAGTAGACAAATTTTGGTGCCTTAATACGGCAATTTCTTAATTTAAACCATTTATTCATCCTCTTTCAAATTTTGGGTAATATAATTATCACCATAATTAATAATGACAATAATGTCATAATTTTTTTTATTATTTATCCTTTTTTTTAAGATGGGTTATATATAACTTTTAATGTTTTTAAGTTCATAAATAAATTTTGGACCCTATTGATATATGACGTTAAATTTGTATTATCAAATCTTCAATAAAATTTTGGTGGAATACATGTTTGACACGTATGAGATCATAGAAGCTAAATTGTTTTAGTCCATGCATAGTTTTTTTTTTTCTTGCTTCTTAAATTTGACCCAACGTAATGGATTATCATCTTATCATAATATTCACCAATATTGTTTACATTTTTTTCTTGTAACTTTTTCATAAAAGAAATTGCATTTAAATTTGTTTATTTGAGGATTTAATGTGTTTTTTAATAATATTATTATTATTATTATTTTTAGGCACTTTATACTTTAAGATATCTATGTAATGTATAAATTTGTTTGATTGGATTGAGAAAATTTCATTTAAACTTCCAAAAGAAAACTTTTTAATTATGCATGTATAAATACGAAATGAAATTATTATTATTATTATAATATGTCATATACTATTTACACACAATGTGATATTAATGAATATCATTATTACTTTAAATAATAACAACAATGAGATATTAATATTAATAATTAATAATTAAAATTATCATAAGTTTTCGTTAATATTATGCATAACATTAATTTTACTAATTTGTAAGTTTTCCCTAGCATTAAATTGTATATAAATGAGAAAATAAATTAACAATTTGAGAGAGCATGTATAAAGTAAATGAAATTTAAAACAGAGTTAATGATTAATAAATTTGATATAACTTCTTCAATATAATCTCATTGAAATATAAGATTATTTGGATTTAAAAAAAAATCACACATCTAATTAATTAGTATAATTTTTTATATATTATTTAGACATCAATTTCTGTTCTTTAAATTTAATTTAAAGAGAAGTTGTTGATATGAAGGAGACTCAAGCTTTATAAACTATATTTCACATTAATAAAAAATATAATCATTTTTTTAATCTAAAAATATCTTTTATATTTATTTTTTCATACTTTGATTATGTTTTACACATTATTTCTTAATTTTATTAGAAACATTGTTTAATTTTATTAATAGTGTTTTGATAATTTAGAAAAATCAATATTCTTTAAAATATTTTCTTAAAAACATTAACATCTCCTTGATCCAAAAGTGGAAACCCTATATCTCTATTTTTTTATTTTAATTATTATAGTAATAATAATTAAATAAAAATATATTAAAATAATAAATAAATTTATTTAAAATTAATAAAATAATAATTTAATTAATTATATCAAATTTATCTCTTATAATCTTTTCATTTATTTCTCAACATTTTCTGTTCTCTTCTTAATCCAAACAATTTTTTTCCTCCCTCACATTGAATCCAATCAAATTGGTAACCGAAAGGTATTAATTTCTCATTTACTCGATTCCTACTTACCTTTTAAAAATAACATACCTAGAATATAATGTTCTCATCAATGATATTTTTGTTAATTTTTTATAAATTTTTTTTATTAGTGAAAAATAATGAAACATGTCATATTAATCTTATATTAAACAATTTAATATGAAAAAAATTTAAAGATTTTAGCAAAATCAACATTTTATTTCAGAAAATTTATATAAATATATTATATATATATTTTCACTAACCAAATAGTTAAGTTTAGGATTAATAATTCCCAAAAATAGTCCACATGTATGAAAAAATTTTCCATGGTACCAACCTCCAAGTAATTTCTAAATTCGACCCTTTTCATATCCTTAACATTTTCTGGTTGTTATTTTTTTATATTAATTTTAGTTAGTTTAACGCTATTATTTTAGCCAAAATAATAAAAATATATTAATTGAAATAATTAGATGTGTAATTTAATTGTATAATATTTATATTTTATAAATAAAGTAATTATATATATTCTTCTTCTTTTTTCATTCAATTTTAATTTCAACATTATAGTTTTTTTAATATAATTTAGTTATGATATATTATTTTGGATATCATAAGTTTGAATAGTTAATATTTTAATATCTTAGAAACAATGATTTTATTTTTTCTAAAAATACTAAAAACATTAATTGCGTGAATATTTTTACAATTACTAATTATAATACATTAAAAGTTATAAATATAAAAATAATAATTATTACTCTTTTATTTTTTTATTATTATTTATAAAAAGTAAATTTTTATAATATATTAAAAATAGTCTGTTACTAATTAATCTATTTTTTCCTATAAAAATATGAATACACATAATTTATTAAAGAATACATAGTTTTCATTATATAATATTATAAATTAATATTTTGCCAAAAAAAAGACTATTCAATAAAATAATACGAAGAGTTATTTGTTCATAATATATTAAAATTTAAAATAAATTATATAATTATCTTATTTCTAAAAACAAATGTGTTACTTAATAAAATTAGGCACTGAAAATAATCAATTGTCCTAATTTTTAATTGATATTTATAATTTTTTTAAGTAATAAAACAACTATAGTTAATAATAAAAATTGAAAATATTTCATAAAATTAAAAATAAATTTATAAGACTGAAATTATATGAAATTTTATATTTTTTTCTCTTAATATTTGAAATTATTATTCCTTATGTGATTCATTTATGTTTATATGATGGTTCATTGTTGTTGTTCTAGTATATAAGTTCCTTTCTTTTTTCACTTTCAAGTAAAAGATAGAAGACAGAAAATAAAAAAAGAATGGATGCATGCTATGTAAAGATGGCTGTCGCAGGAAAGGTTGGTATCATCCTCAAAACTATAATGGTAAGGAAAAATTTTATTAATCAAAAGTAAGAAAATAAAAATGATCAAGATCATAATTCACAAAGTATCATTATGATCGATTATGAATAAATTCAACAGAACATCACTTCGTCGTCAAGTGTTTAGTTTACAAATTTTATTTATGATCACATCATGAAATCATCTTTTACCATAGACTTGAAATATATCAAAATTTTTATCATTAGAACAAATATCATAGTATATCAATAAGATTCGTTCTTGTTAATAGGGTTAGGGTTAAAGTATGTAAGTGGATTAATACTTTAGGAAAAATAAATAACATAAATCCATATATCTTATAAATTTGCTCCAATTACATATTTGAAAATGGTTGACACCTTTAAAATTATCCATTGGCCTTTCTAATAAGGATCAAGTGCATATGAAAGTAAGTACATATCACCTTAGAACAAAATTTTACTTATACTACACATAAATTATATCAAGTAAACACAAATTTTAATATTTTCAGTCACGAAATTGTATTGCTCTCTCTTAAAATATAGTAGGCCAAAAATGGTAAGATGGTTGATATGGTAGTCAACCATTTGTTTATATATATATATATATATATATATATATATATATATATATATATATATATATAATTTAAATTAAAGCATAAAATAAATTATAATTTTAAAAAATATAATTTATTTTGTGTTAAGATATTTAATATGTAAATACATAATATTATTATAATTGAATAATCTAATAATAAATATAATAATGATTTAAATTTATCCGATTAAAAATATAATTAAGCAAAAAAATTAGAAAATAGTTATATAATTAAATATATAAAACTTAAAATTAAAAAACGAGATAGACTTGTAAATCAAAAAGTACCTGACCGAGTCAGGTTTGTAATCCAATAATCTATTGTCAAAATAGGGAGATTAGGATTTACATCCTATATGCTAATTATTTGATGGGACATGTTAATGTATGCAATAGTCAAGTCTTTATATATTTTTTAATGTCTTCCTTAACATATGTTTTCTTAATTTTACTATTTTATTACATCGATATGTTAATTTAGTATCGGTTGGGTCAAAGTCTCTAATACGTCCTCGTATTTATCTTTAGTATTGAGTCAAACCTTCGTTATTTCCTGTTCAGGTATTGTTCCTTGTACAACGTTTAAGTTAGAAACAAGGTTTTAGGCTAAATTCCTGCAATATTTTCATAATTTACTTCCTCTTCACGTGAAGGCTATTATTTGGACACTAGATAGCCCCTAGCCTCAAGTATTAAACGTCGAGTCTTTGAGAAAGTTACGTTTACACACACATTGGTATTTAATGATGCAAGTAACTCGGTTGTCATACAGGTCAGTTTTGACTCGTGACCTTAAGCATCACCTCATTTAGCGGGAACATATGACCCTTCATAACTCATTCGTCATTGTAGAATATCTCGACAACTTGTGGTAAATCAAGTTTGGGTCATCGTTGTAGAATATCTCGACCCCGTATGGATTGTTATAGAAACTCCCAACCCCGTATAGGTCGTTGTAGAAAATCTCAACCTCCTTCAAGTTGTTGTAGAAAATATCGACCTCCTTCAGGTCGTTGTACAAAATCTCGACCTCGTGTGAGTCGTTGTGGTAGAAAAGTCTGACCTCGTGAGTCATTGTGATATAAAATCCCAACCTTGTGTGAGTTATGGTGGAAAATCCCGACCACGTGTGAGTTGTGGTGGAAAATCCCGACCACGTGTGAGTTGTGGTAGAAAATCCAGACCTCTTTTAAATTAGTAAATTAGTATAGAAAATCCCAATCTCTTTTGGTCGTTGTAGAAAATCTCAACCTCTTTTGAGTCATTATGTAGTTATAAGATGAATGATCTTAATATCAAACTAGATTAAAATGAGTAAACAATTATCCACAAATATAATTTTAAGTAAGAAATATTATTAAAAGAATAATACAATAATCTTAATAAAAATTATAATATATTAATGCTTTTTATTTAATCATGAAATTGAAAAATTAAATTTGGTTTAAAAATGTTGATCTCAATTTTTTTATTCACTAATAATAATAGATTTTAGTTTTATCTCGTCGAGTATCACTCTATGGGCGAGTGATGCACTAGGTGAGCTGCATGTGCGACAATTCTCAACGAGGTGATGAGGCTCTTTCCTAGTAGGAATGTTTAATTGTCCCCACATACGATGTCAGATGTTGTTGCTCAAAAATTCCCTTTAAACAATAATATTTTTTACTATGTGTTTTTACCCTTAATATTCATTGTCGGGATATTTTTGTAACTGACAGCCTCGTCACCTATCCGATCTATAAAGTTAATCATATGACAAGGCTAATTATTTGAAAATGATGAGTGGATTAATGTTTACATCTTATCAACTCATTCTTTGGTGGGACAAGTCGAGTATGCAATTTGTCTTATATTAAGAGGAAATATTTATATAATATTTTTTAAATATATAAAACTTAAAAAAAACGGTAGACTAATATTAAGATTTACATCCTATCTCATTATTTGGTGGGACATGTTAATATACAATTCATCCTGCCACCCTTAGCCCTATGTTATGTACTTCAAGACCAAGGTATTTTAATGTAGGGCTGTCAAAATGGACGACCTAGTTTAGCTTGACCTGTCTAAGTAAAAAAACAAAATCTCTTTTGACCTAATTAAAAATATAATGTACAAAGTATTATGGTACAAAATATTATGGTTGTCAAAATAGATGCCTTAGTCTAGCTTACCTGTCTAAAAAAAAAATTTGTTTTACCTAATTAAAAATATCATCGTACAAAAATATATCCAAAGTTTAACATAAGCATGCAACCAATTACGAGTGGAGTTTACCCAATTTTTTTTAGGTAAATAATTTCTATATTTGTTTAAGAGGTGACTATCAATGCTAATTCTAAAACTACTATTATAATTAGAATGCTTAAAATGTTACAAAATAAAAACAACTAATTGCTTAATTTCCAATATTGATAAACAAAATGAATAGTTACAATCATTTACCATTGTCCATATATCAGAAGTCAAATATATTCTACCAAATATATTAAATAACACATCTTACATTTATCTTAAGCTTTTTATTTTCTATTAAGTACTCGTTATAAACATCATAAATTAAAGTTGAAGTGTTTCTAGTAATTGGTTTAAAATCGGGATTATTTATATCATAAACTCTCTCATGTTCATGTTCAATATAGTTAAATGGAAGATCATGCTTAATAATGTGTCTCGATAAACATAATGTCTACATCATGATACTTTAGAAAAACATGAGACAATAATGAAGAAAACAAATAAAGTTTATGTTTAGGGTTTATTATTATTTTTAAATTTTTATATATATAAGAAAATATATTATCACATTAGTTTAATATTTGCATGATTAAATACTTTTTAAATATATAGAACTTAAAAATAAATAAAAAAGGTAGACTAATCGATCTGATCAATATCTATAACTTACTATTTTATTCTCTCATAATGAGATTAATATTTACATTGACTTATTCTTTAGTACGTCATATCCAATTCGTTTTTCCACCCTATATTGACTCAATACTAATTTTATCAACCTATATTTAAAGTCTTTATATTTTTTTAATACGTTTTCTTAATTTTACTCTTTTATCAAATATTATATTGACATGGATATAAAATATTTTTATATTATTTTTATTTAGATATTTTTATATTAAAATAATTTTTTTATAACCATTACATTATTTAAAAGACTCGAGAGAAATTTTTAGTAATTTAGTTATTATTTTTTTTCTTTGACTTTTGATTTTCATGTTACATCTTTTAAATGATAAACTAAGTATTTTTAGATCATGAGATTATCTTTAAATATAACAATTTATACATGTATTATCACATGTGAATATAAGTATATATAATGGTAGACATTATATAAAAACTCAAGGAAATATCATAATCAAACACTGAGAAATTAAACATACAGAGTTAATCATTTTTCAGAAACAAAAAGTATAGTTAGCCTTACCTGATATATAATTTATCATTTCATAATTATAGTTTAATATTGATAAAATTGTGTTTTCTTATTACTTTTTAATATTTTTATTACATTAATATGGTCCTCAACAAAGGATGAACAAAACTTAAAATGTTGAGCACTTGTTACAAAACTTAATTAAGATTGTGTAGTCTTGATTTTCCAAAATGAACTTTAAGAATTTGTTATCCTTTTAAATAATAAAGAAAACAAAATAGAAGAGAACGTGAAAAGACAAGTTTAAAAATTGAAAGAAAAATGAGATGAAAAGAGGTTTTAGAAACTAAAAACTAAAAAAATAAATAAACATTAATAAGTCTATATATAAGCTCTACTTAAGATTGTATTGTACAATGATTCTAAACAAGAGTTTTATTAGATATTTTTAAACTCAATTACAGAAGTTTAAACTAAAAACAAAAAAAGTCAAACATGAAAAAAGTAAACTTTTAAAAATTATAAAAAATTTCAAATCTAATATACTTGTTACAAAGGTTCAGAAATATAGAATTCAATCAATTAAAATAAGCTAATAATAGTATCTATATAGAAAATTATGGCCACATGGATAATCAAATATTACATTAATTAAAAATACAAAATTAAAGTAACTATGCACATTGAACCAAAATTATTACAACTAAGAAAAATAATTTAAAAATTAAAAATAAAGTATATGAAATTTTTTTCAATATGCAATAAAATCCTAAATATGTACAGAAAAGATGGATTACTAATAATATGTCTTAAAATTGTAAGAGAGATGATGTGTTAGGAAAACTACAGTTGTTTGTAATATTTTGAGTTTTTATTTTATTTTTTAGAGGACTAAAAAAGTTAAAAAATATTATTAAAGATAAAAAAGTCCATAATTTATTAGAACCGAGCTAACATATTTGAACTATATTGTGAACACGTTATGATGAAAAACCCTTGAAGAATCGTTCAATCACTTCAAGTTCTAATGAAGCATAAGAAAAGAGGAGCACTCCATGATTGAACCAAATCCAACCAAAAACAAAGGAAATCAAAACGTTGAGAATAATATATTTCACTTATTTTCATAACAGTGATGTGTGAAACTTCTTTAAGCATTTTAACTTAGCATATGGTTCGTTCAATACAAAGAACTTACCTTCCTTGCAAAATTGCAACTTTTTCCTCAACTACTAATAGGTCCCACTTGTTATTAATATATATTAATGAATTTATTAACCAGAATTAACAAATTAGGCATTGCTCATCATTATAAAATACTTGTTTATCTAATTGCATTAATGAATATTGATCATATTCATACCACTAAGTGATATTTACATTAATAGGTATAATTTACAAAATATAAAAAAAAGTCAAAAAATATATTTGAAATATATATATATATATATATATATATATATATATATATATATATATATATATATATATATATATATATATAAAGATTAACTCTTTTTTCACCAGAAATTCTTAGTGGTACTTTATCAAGAAAATAAACAATTTTAATACTATAAGTTATAAGGTAAAATATTTGTTTATATAATAATCATAATATATATATATATATATATATATATATATTTATGTTTAATATAATTAAAATATTTTATTTGATTTTTCTAGAATATCAATTACTTTGTTAAATTTTTAATTATTATGATTAAGAATTAATTTTATATCACATTGACTAATAGGTAATGGATATATGTGGTTTAAATTATCAAAAGATTAATTTTATGGAAGATCATTGTTAATTGTAAATGGTTATCATCAGAGTCATCAAATTTTAAAAAAAAATTATCATTGAATTTTGGAAAATATATGGATGAATTATTTTCACATATTTACTCGATGTTGAAATATTTTTTCCTTATCTCAATTTGTTTCAATACAGTCCGACCCAACTCGACCTAAATCAATATGGTCTGACCTAGTTTAAATTAACCCAACACGTTATAACTATCATGAAACTATCTCGACTCGACCATTCTCGATTTGGTTCATCCTATATTGACCTGACCTAACTTATCCCGACTTGACTTATCCTAACCTAATTCAATACTTTCTCATCATATTCGACCTACCTGTCAAAGTAAATTTGTTCCACCTAAATCCAACCAATCCCAACTTAACTCATCTTAATTTGATCCATTCATCTTGTTCTAATCCTCCTAACGTGACACATCTTAAATGATTTTAAATAATTTTGAATTAAATCATTTAAAATTATTTAAAATAAAAGAAATTCAAATTTAGTGCATTAAAATTTTCTAGAAATTACAACTTGCCTTATCCAAACACATCATAAAATATACAAGTTATACTCATATTTCAAATTTCAGTTAGATTTTTTTTAATGGTTGAAATTTTATAGTTTAATGATTTTTGTTAATGAATAATATTTCAAATTTTGTAGTTTATGAAACAAATATTCATTAATCAAGTTAGCATTTAAAAAACTAGTGTTTGGTTTAGATGTTGTTATTCAAATTATTTCATGGTTTAACTAGTCGCCAGTGCAACTACTAGTTTCAAATTAATTGTTATAAATGTCTTTGTATATTTTGTGCTATCAAGAAGATTTTCATAGTTTGTTTGTACAAACAAGTGTTATTCTTATTTTAAATTTCCTCAAAATTGTAAGTCTATGGTAATGCTTTATCTAGACTCTAGTGATTCATATCATGAGCAAAAGTTTGAGATGAAATCATAAGAATTCATTAATAATGCGTAAAAATAACTATACATGAGTTTGGTAATGGAGAAAATGGAAGACAATAAACCATAACATGTAGGTAAAAGTGAACTCATATTTAAAGGAGTCATGTATACATGAGTACTTCTCTAACACGAGTCACTTTTATATTAAGAATTACGTTCTAGTGGGAGAAAATTCTACATTGGAACCCTTAAATAAGTTGAAAAGTGGTGAATATAACATGTTTGGATTTGAGTATGTGAGAAGACCTATTAGTAAAACTTGTACCTCAAGCACACGTAATAGAATCATAGACAATAAAATCCAATCCATGAAATTATTTGGGAAGATAATTCTAATTTCATAAGTTGGGAAACAAAATTGTTCACCCAACATCAAAAGGCAATAGGAAAGGATATAAAGTATAAATTTGGAATTCTACCATCTTAATTTACAATTAGTAATTGGAATATTAATAAAATCAAGTACATGTTATAGACATACATCATATTGCACAACATAATTGTGAAGATGAATATCATGCATAATTTCAACTTACAAAGTCCAAAATAATCCCACTAATATCAATAAAATAATCCTAGCAATGGTGAATGGAAAAAAAAAACTTTTGTAACAACCTTAGAAATTACTATTAAAATAATATGCAACATCTGAAAATAAACTTAATTAACTTTAAAATAAAATACATAAAGTTAAGATGTATATATACAAAAATTAATTCTTGCTAATATGGAATTTCAACAAAAGCATACATCATATCTAAAATAAATCATGAACCCATGGACTACTTGTGATGTCTGGTAGCATCTTCACCCTTTGTGTAAACATTTGCTCTCATGTAATATATATTATTTTCACAATTCAAGTTAAGCAAACAAGAAAATTGGGAAAAGTTAATCATTCAAATATAATTATTTAGTTACATATAAAATACCCATTCCACCATAACCATTTATACACCATCACAAAACACATATTCACATACTATTTTCACTAAAAACATAAATTTTTTTTTTTAAAAGACACAATATTATTTTCCAAACTCACATACTTCTATAATCCTAACAACATTTTGGCTATCCTATACACCTGGTAGAACTTTTGACCATACTTATCCATCTTGGCGTATCTCTCACAAGCTTAAGATAAGTTATCTAACAATTTTTTTCATTGGTTCCTTATCACATGATACTTTTGTTTATGTGACTTAAATTACAAGTGAAACATGAGATCTCATTGAATCTACCAACATTAGCACCAAACTAACACAATTAATTAAGTAACACCAGTCATTTCTAGGTTACTACCTTAGATTGTATCACCCACACACCATCAATCTCATACTTGTCTTTTCTAGGCAATTTCCTCAAGTTTTTGACTTTTTCCTCACCTATATTAATACACAAGTATTGCAACTAGGCCTCAATTCTTCATTCACATCCATCACTTACTCTCACAAAAAAGGTATATTGTTTGAGCGTCACTTCGATCACTTGAGTGATGGACTTCCAATACTTAAGTCACTTGACTTTGTCTTTTCCTTATTTGAGCAATCCCATTAATGAGACCACCTCTCTTAAGTGTTTCTCTCCACACTTTTGTGAGGTACTTTGAAGCAAGATCATCCATTTTATTTGTTTCTCTCTTGAACAACTAATAAACAAAATTAATTTTTCCTCATTTGTTAGTATTTTGCTAGGGTGAACTAAGACCACTTGAGCGAAATACTTATAGAACCAATTCTATCTCCTCAACAAATCTTTTTCTTTGAGGGTCTACTTATCACTTAAGTGGAATTTTTATCAAATCAACTATTTCTCCTTCGTAGATATCTCATCTAAGCGTTTTACACGTCGCTTGAGGGAAACATTTGTCATATTAATAATCTCTCATCTAGTGATGTTCTCGCTTAAATATCAATCCATCACTTTAGCAAATTGCCATCAAATGGTTTCTCACTTGAGCTACAACTTGTCACTTGAACGAATTATCACTAGTTAAAGCGTTAAACTCCTAACTTGAGTAAAGAGTCATAAAAGAGTGAAGAAGAAGCAAAGTAACAACAAAATTTTCATACAATATAACCAACTTCCAATTAGATAGAGTTGTCCTATACCTTGACTTCACTTTGTCACTTCTTAACTTAGATTCTAACAATATCTCTCAATATCTTAAGTTTAGAGAGAATTTAGAGAGTTTAAATTTTAGAGAATGAAGAAGATATGAAGTTATGAAAAATAAACTATTTAAAACTCTATTTATATTTTTTTAAAATAACTAAACATATTTTTTTTATAAAAGTAAATATCCTTACAACTTTAACCTAAAATACTAAAATAAAAAAGATGGTGTTAAGTCGATGTTGCTCAAACCTCGATTAAGCCAATACCATTTTATTTAAGATCGAGATGAGGAGAGAATATGAAGAAAAATACATAGATTTGAGAGAGGAAAAAGTAAGAAAAAAAATTAAATTCTTATTTTCGTGTAAAATTAATATAGTAAATTCCTTAAATTCTAATTTCTTTTAAAATTATTAAGGATGACAATCAAACCCATACCCGAATTCATCCTTATCCCAAAGTTGATAGAGAAAATCAAATTGATCGGGTTCGAGTTTGAGTTTTCCCACTTTAAGAAATCGGGTTTGGTGAAGGAGATAAGTAATGCGGTCTTCATCCCATCCTCATCCTTACCCTCGCCCTAACTTTACATTTAATCCTAAATCTTAAAATATTAACCATTCATCTTTTTTTTTTTCTCTCACATTACATATTAACCCTTGTTTTCTTTTTTTATTTTTAAATCTAAAATGTAAAATATAACATTTGTCTTCTCACATTAGATAGTGTGCTTCTTCTCTCTACTCCCACCTACTTTTCATTCTTTTATCTTTTTCAATCTTTTCAACCAATGCTAGTCTAACACACTTTTTTCTTTCTCCCACCTTTTATTGCTTCATCTTTCTTTAATTCCTTCAACTAATTTAGCTTATCTTATCTCTTTAACTAATTTGACTTCTCCAATTCACTATTCTAATATCTTTTATGATCAACATAAACCTTGTTTTTTCTAAAAAATAATTAATTATGATAAAACATGATAGAGAAGACAAAATATTCAGGTAATAAATAATACATATCTTGTTTGTGGTTATATATATATATATATATATATATATATATATATATATATATATATATATATATATAACGGAAAATAATGAAGCAACAGAAACAAGTACACATGAACCAATGCTAAAAAAAATCCTAACATCAATGGTCCTACTCCTACACCAAATGAAGTCCCACATAATTAGAGACAATGAGCATGATAAAATTAGGAGTGACAAAATGGTTAGGCTCAGCGCCCCGACCCGTAGTAGCCCGATATAAATATGATGAGGCGGGTTAGTGTTTTCAACCCATTAGTCCGCTCTAGTCATCTCACTGAGCCCATTAACCCGTCGAACCATCCCGTGGGGTGGGCCAGCCTACGACCAACTTAACTAATAGAAAAAAATATTTTTATGATGCAGAACATGAAATTATTATGCATGAATATCCACTTTTAGTTCTAGATCATATTGATTTTTAGAGATACTCGTATGCTCTCCAACCAATATTTCTAGTTCATTATAAAAAATACTATTAAAAATGAAATATTCAAAGTGTAAAGTCTGATAAATCAAGAATTTTGAAGTTATTGGATAACCTTGAAGGACAAATGGTTATAACATCAAACATGTGGACTTCAGATAATTAACAAATAGGATATATGATTGTCACTGCTCATTACATTGATGACTCTTGAAACTTACAAAGTCACATTTTAAGGTAACAAATAAAACTTTTAGTTATATTTTATATTATTATTATTTTTTGTATGATAGAATGATTGAATCTTGATTTAATTTAGGTGAATATTACTATGTTAGGTTCATTTATGTTCCAACTCCTTACACAAGTGATAAACTTTGTAATGCATTAGTTGAATGTTTAATGGATTGTAATATTGATACAAAATTATTCATTATCACCCTACATAATTATACCACAAATAATATTATGATTGAATACATTAAGGATAAATTATAAATAAACACTTTATTGAGAGATTGAGATTTATTTTACATGTCTTGTGTTGCTCACATATTAAATTTGATAATTAAAGATGGGCTAAAGGTGGTGAAAGGTAAGGTTGAAAAGATTTGGGTAGTGTAACATATTGGATTGCAACACCTAAAATGAAGGAAAAGTTTGAGGAAACAACAAAGTAATTGTACATCTTTTGTATTAAGAACTTGGTTTTAGTTTGTCTAACTAGATGAAATTCAACATACAAATGCTTGAAATTGGCCTAATATATGAGGATGTGTTTAATTAGCTGAAGCAACAAGATTTTCAGTATATTTGTTTGCCAACTAGTTTACAATGGCACTTTGGAAATGATGCTTGTAAAATATTGAAATTGTTCAATTTTAAAAGAGACTAATTTTTTGCAACTAAACACCAACTATTAGTGTGTATTTTTCCAATATATGTGAGATTAAATTGATATTGACTCAGTCAATTGCATATCCTAATTAATTGATTAAAAAAATGTTGGAGAAGATGTTGTTCAAATTTGATAAGTATTGGAATGTTGTTATTATGAGAATTGTTACTATTTTGGATCTTACATACAAAATGAATTCAACAATTATATTATGACTTGATTTATGAGTATCAAACAAAAATACATAAAGGTACGTGATGCATTAACTAAATATGATAGGTATACTTTGAGAAAAAAGAGTAAGAAGTACTTATGTTAAATAAGAGTTAGATTATTATTTAAAGGAAGATGTTTTACCAAGAAAAACTAATTTTAATATTTTAATGTAGTAGAAGTTGAATGAAATCAAATAACTAACATTTCAAGCAATTGTTAAATATGATTAATTATCGTTATCTTCATTACAACTTTTGAATATGCATTTAGTACTAATAATAAAATAGTAAGCCTTCATTGTAGTCAATTGAATTAGACTACATTAGAAGATTTGATGTGTGTTAAGAGTTGGTCATTGAGTATTGAAAATAGTGGTAATATTTTATATTTCTTTTTAAATATATACTTAATGACTTACATTTTAACAACTATTTCTTTTTATATTTTATCTTTAGGTGGTGTGAGTTTTTAACTACTTGACTACTTTATTCAATCAAATGGACTTTGATATTAAAGGTATTATTTTATTTATTCAAAGAATATTATTATCTTTTTCAAGATTTTATTTCTCTTTTCAATAATATATCTTATTTTGAAATAGTGAATTGATCATCAAGTAACATTACTGCTCATTTATAAGATTATTACTAGATTATTTAATATTTGTTATTAAAAAAATTATATTATTTCTTTTGAAAGATATAATTTAAACTATATAATTAAATAAAATATTTTAAGAGAATTAGAAGTAATTTTTTATTGGAAAAATCTTATATCTTAAATTAAATATTTCAAGAATTAGAATCAACTTTTTATTGGAGAAATCTTATATGACATAAATACTTAAATTTGTTTATATCAGTTTCATCAAACAACTTAAAAAGTAAACAAATAAATAAGGAGAATAAATAATTTTGTTTAATTTATTAAGAAAACTTCAAATAGAATAAAATAAATATTAAATTACTTAAAAAAATTTGACATCATGTCATAAATCTTATTTTACAATTTTTTTCAATATAAGAAGAGTCGCTCTTACTGGAGTACTCTATATTTTGAAATTGTATAAAAATTTTGTCCCCCACTAAATACAATTACATTAAGTATTTCAAGAAAGTTTTATCATTTTATAATTACAGCATCAGATCCTAATAAAATATATTTTGTAAAAAAATACTTAAAAAAAAAAAATCAAAGTTATCTTAAATTATTTAACCCAATTCAACCTTTTCAAGGTCGAATTTGTTTAGGTTCAAGCTCATTATGGCACAAAAACCTTTAAAATATTAAATCCATACGATGAACTTAGCCACATTAATTGCTTTCATTTGTCATTAGAATTAAGACGTGGATGACCACATGGTTAGGACGTTGTGATTCAATAAATATTTCAAACTATCAAAGGTCATTAAATAATAATTAAAGAGTAGAAAATAATATGAAAAAAAAAAAACTCTTCTCGTCTTCACCTAACCAAACGGCCTTAAACAATAAGGTTCAAGATTGAGGTTGTTTTAAAGAAGTTTGGATGCAAAATAAAAACTAAAAACAGAAGCACAAGTAGGTCAAGAAAACTTTATTTAAAGCATTTATGATTTCGACAACCCTGGCCTCTGTTGCTACCTAAGACATGCTTTATGTTTGAATATAAATGTTATTGTCAAGGTGAATTCTAAGTTTACATTCCCATTGCAAATGATATTTTTAGATAACCTTTTTCATCTAATCATAGAACTAAAGGTAATTATGTGTATTTTATTTACTATACTTAAATAAATATAAAAATTATAACATAATTTTATTATACAATTTGTCAATATAAAAGTAAAACCAATAAAATATATATACAATATTGTCAGCAGTTTTATAACTCCTAGTTATTTCGTATAGGTTACATAACATAATATAAAACTTAT